ATTAGATACATTTATCTTTCAAGTTTATAATTAAGAAAGTTAGCAAATTCCTAGGGCTTCCCTCACTTGAAACTGAATTCCATAATCCTTGTTTAGGTTACATTTTTCTGAAAATTCTCTCATGCCCTCTGCTGTTCATTTACTGAATATAAATTATTAAATAAAGTAAAATATTCATGGGCATTTACATATTGAGTCACTTTTAGGAAGCAATATATACTAAGAAATTAGTTAAATATTTTAAATTAAAAATGTAATATGTTTCCTACTGAAAATACACACACACAAAAATGAAGAAATAATTCATTATCTCACTACTTAGAGATAACAATTGTTATCAAGTTGTGTATTTTCTTTTGGAATTGTTTCTATGGAATATATTTTTAAATAGAATTTTATGTTAAAATACCATCATTATTATTATTACAAAATTGGGATCATATTAGACATACAACTTGGTATGCTACCCTTTTCACTTAATATTACTGAGGGCAGAAGCTTCTTCTATCCCTGTGAGGATGGGGTGCATCACCTGCTTGGTGTTCCATACCAATCCATACCAAGAGGGTGAGGTGCCCCATCTCTACAGAGACCATATACACACCAAGAGGGTGATGCACCCCATTTCTACAGGGATCATATCCTCACCAAGAGGGTAATGCACCCCATTTCCACAGGAATAGAAATCCCTGCTCTCAGGACAATCCTAGACCTAGCACTAAATATCTGTTCATTTTGGCTGTTTATCTGTATCCTTTATCATATCCCCTAATCAACTGGTAAATGTAAGTTAAATATTTCTCTGAGTTCTGTGAACCATTCTAGCAAATTAATCTAACTTGAGGGGAAGGTCATGGGAATCTCCAATTTGTAGCCAAATCAGACAGAAGTTGTGGGTAACCAAGGGACCTACAATTTGTGATTGGCATCTGAAGTGGGTGCAAGCAGTCTTGTGGGACTGAGCCCTTAACCTGTGGAATTTGACATCATCTCCAGGTAGGTAGTCTCACAGTTGAGTTAATTGTACGACACCCAGCTGGTGTCACAGAGAATGGCTTGTTATGGGGAGAAGCCTCACACATTTGGTTACCAGAACGTCAGAAGTGAAGTGTTGTGAGTGTGGGAGTAGTGTGAGGGTAAAGGGGACACTCACAGAAGCAAAACTGTAGAATTTCCCTTTACAATTATATTATGGAAAAACTGCCATATCTTTGAATATTCTTCAAAATATAATTTTAAATTATTGCATAGTATTCCAGATATATACTCATTTCTGTAACACCCTCCTATTTTTGAACATTTAAGTTGCTTCAACTCTTTACTACCATAAATAACCCAGCAAAACAAAATTCCTTGAACATAAGTTTTTTTAATATCCCTAACTTTATGCTTACATTACATTCCAAAAAGCCCAATATCTAGGTCACAAATACACATATTTTAAAGTGCTTTATGTATAATGCTAAACTGGCCCCTAGAAATGTTGTAATAACTTACATTCCCACCAGTAGTATATGTTCATGACCACAGGAACAGCTTTTTAAAAATTGAAGATGTAAAAATATCTTACAAGTAAATTCAAAATAAGAGGGGACATTTATATATGATTCTCCACTCATTTGACGAATATTTTTTTCCAAAGGTGTCAAGAAGATAGAATCTTTTGATAAAGTGGTAAAAGGGCCAGACCCTTTAACTGTTTAATCTTAAACTTTCTGAATTTGTTTTCTCATCTCTAATGTGAGGATAATAATACTTGCCCTGCTAAACACAATGTTTTGTGAGGTTACCCTGAGATGATACATGTGAACATGCTCTGAAAACTATAATGCCATACAGATGGAAGGTAGTATTTTTATTAGTCATTATTAACATGCGGCCAGATATATAAATCATTAGACTTTTTAAAGTATCAATAACATTTTTTTAAATCAATGTTTTTCCATTGATTTTTAGAGAGAGGAATGGAGAGAGAGGGGCAGAGAGAGAAACATCGATGTGAGAGAGAAATGATTGGCTGCCTTCTGTATGCTCCCCAACTGGGGATCCGAACCCTCAACCTGGGTATGTGCCTTGACTGGGAATCAAACCTGTCACTCTTCGGTGTACAAGATGACATCCCAACCAACTAGGCCACACCGGCCAGGTATCAATAACTTTTTAATATCTTGTATTAATCTTAATTATCAATAATTTTCTCCATTTTCAAACTTATGTGATCAAAAAGTAATTTTTCAATTATCTTTAGTTTTATTGTATTTACGTCAAAATAATAAAATAATCATTTTCTCATATAGGCAATTAAGGGTCAACTGCCAATTCCATTTACTTGGTTTGTCTCAGAAAAGAAATTACCATAGAAACAAAATGATCTATTAGAAATTCCTATTTAATCTATAAATATAAGGCACATGTACAACAAATTTGAACGCATTTTCAACTTGTTTAAACCAACACCTTTTTTGAGTTCTTTTTCAAAGTTTTTCTCATGGGTTTTCATTAAAAAAGACAGTTTGAAGATCAGACCAAATGACACAAAAGCCAAGAATATAACCAGTTTTCAGTGGGAACTTGGTAAACTTAAAAGCTAGTACCTATTGTGAGCCTTCATAAGAGGAAGAATAAGGAAGGAGGAAGGACTAGAATAGAAAGGAGGAAAGAATAACTAAGAAAGTACTAAAATTTAAAAAAGGTAATGGGTAGCAAAGAACCCTGTGACTTGGGCCTGTAAAGGCTTTAGCTCACATCATGAGGAATTTAGCCCACATCTATCACTCTAACCCCCAGTAATTCTGGTTATTGCACTTGGCCAAGGGTGTCAATTTCTTTAAGGCATCCAGTTTCTACACTTGCATTATATATATATAATTATTGATTTTTTACAGAGAGGAAGGGAGAGAGATAGAGAGTTAGAAACATCGATCAGAGAGAAACATCGATCAGCTGCCTCCTGCACACCTCTTACTGGGGATGTGCCCGCAACCAAGGTACATGCCCTTGACCAGAATCGAACCTGGGACCCTGAGTCCACAGGCCGACGCTCTATCCACTGAGTCAAACCTGTTAGGGCTACACTTGCATTATATTAAACATCATTGTTTGCAGTGTGTCTTTGCTGAGAACTTAGAGAATAATTTGTAGGAGGAGGAAGTGGCACTGAAAAGTAAAAATAAACAGAAAAGGAGAAAAAATTCTTTTTCATCTTTTTAATTACCCACAGAATAATAAAAGGTAAAAGAGACCTCATAGAGTCCATTCAGTACAAATCCCTCTTCATCTTAAGGTTGAAGAAACAGATCCAGGTGACACAGATAAAACAGGGGCAGAGCCAGGAAAACAATCACTCCCATGTTCTTCCCATTGCACTACGTTGACTCTCTTTTTTTGTATCTTATTTTAGTCCTAAAACCAAAGATTATTTGTAGACAAGAGATCAATGCTGCTGTCAACACAAGTCCTGAACTCTCAGATTTTTCTTGGTAACTAAAGAGTCAATGCTATCTCTAAAATAAAAATACAGTACTTTACATTGTTGAAATGGCCTGTCCATTATCTTCATTTGACCCTTATAAAAACCTTTTGAGGCAAGTCAAGGAAGGTATTATTGACCTCATTTTAAAAGCGAGCAATTAAAACACAGAGACATCCCATGACTGGCCCAAGATCACTTAGAGTCAGAATGAGGTAGGACTCTAACTCTATTCCAATTTATTCTGCCAAAGAGGACGTTCCCTCAAAGAGTCCCAATCTGGCTTTTTATCCCTTTGAAGGGATTCTCCATCCCAAGAGACCCCGTTCCAGTTTAGTGAAGTTTGGACCTAACCACCCACTGAGGGTACTCCTAGTTTGCATCTAGTTCTCACCTTTAAACTCGCAGTTTCTCACTCCTTCCCTTGGTACTGATCTTTCTTTAAGCTCCTGTGTCTCCGTGGGTTATGGCCTTCAAGGCTCACTCTAAAGCTCCGCTCTCTCCAAAGAAGTCGCGTCCTCGGTATCCACGGAAACCACACAGCCTTGCCCACCTTGCCCCTTCCGCGCTTTCCATTGGCCAGCTGAACTTCCACGTAACCCATTTTTCCGTCCCTCCAATGGCTAATGGTTTTGAGGCAAAGTACACGCGCCTCCGAGCACAATCTAACACCTGCTCTCACTCGCTTTCCACCCTGCACATTGCCTCCTGGGATATGTAGTTTCTGAGCACCCCGAACCCTTGCTGTTTGGCTCCCTTTAGAACTACCTCTCCCATCTGCCTTTGCGAAAGGGGCGGTGGTAGCCGAGAAGTCCGGGTCCGGGAGGGTACGCACTGCTTTGAAATTGCAACTTGGCGCTGAGGCATCAATTCCCGGACACACTGAGCAGGCTTCTCTGCTTCAGCAATTCCCCCCCAAGCAAGTCCCCCCCAAACTTCTCTCTTTGGACTTGCGCCGGCACAGTACCAAGTCGTCTGGTGGGGGTGCGACCGGCCTGTGGCTGAGGTGATCTGAGACAGCGTGAGAGGGGCGCGCCATGTTCGCCCCCGCTGGGGCCCGGGGGCTGGGCCGCCTCCGG